AAAAAAAAAAAAAAAAAAAAAAAAAAGTCGTATGGAAACTCAAGGGACCCTGAATAGCTAAAATACTCTTGAGAAAAAACAAAGCTGGGGAACTCATATTTCCCAATTTCAAAACGTACTAAAAGACAAAAAAAAAACAGAACTTCCTAAAGCTACAGTGATTAAGCCAGTATAGCACAAGTACAGATATGTAGATCAATGAAATCCAAGAGTCCAGAAATAGATTTATATATCTACAGTCAATTGATTTTCAATAAGGGCGTCCAGACCATTCAATGAGAGAAAAGAACTGTCCTTTCAACAAATAATACTGGGATGAGAGGCTATCAACATGCAGAAGAATGTTTACAATATATGCAAAAATTAACTACAGTAGGCAGGGCACGGTGGCTCACATCTGTAATCCCAGCGTTCTGGGAGGCCGAGGTGGGCGGATCACCTGGGGTCAGGTGTTCAAGACGAGCCTGACCAACATGGTGAAACTCTGTCTCCACTAAAATTACAAAATTAGCCAGGTGTGGCAGTGTGCACCTGTAACTTCAGCTACTGGGGAGGCTGAGGCAGGAGAATCTCTTGAACCCGGGAGGCAGAGATTGCAGTGAGCTGAGATTGTGCCATTGGACTCCAGCCTGAGCAACAAGAGCAAAACTGTCTCAAAAATAAATAAATAAATAAAATAAAAATTAACTGTAGTGAAGCATAGCCCTAAAAGAGTTACAACTCAGACTCAGCTCGCTTCAGCAGCACATATACTAAAAATTGGAAAAACAGGGAGAAGATCAGCACGGCCACCGTGCAAAGATGACATGGAAATTCATGAAGCATTTCTTATTTTTTTAAAAAACTATCTGACTCTTAGAAGAACAGGTAGATGTAAATTTTTGTGACCCTGGATTAGAAAATGGTTTCTTAAACACAAAAAGCAAAAATAACCAAAGAAGTAAGACTTCATCAAAATTTAAAACTTTTGTGTTTCAAAGGACATTACCAAGAAAGTGAACAGACAGCATAGAGCTTTTGCAAATCCTTTATTTGATAAGGGTCTAGTATCCAGAGCACATAAACGATATTTACTACTCAATAGAAAGACAAGTGACCCAACTTTCAGATATACAGAGAATCTGAATATTTTTCCAAAGATAGACAAATAATCATTAAATCCATGAAAATATGTCCAATTTCATTAGTCATCTGGGAATTGAAAATCAAAACCACAGTGAGACACCACTTTGCACCCAGTAGGATGGCCCCAACTTTAAAAATATAAAACAAGTGTTGGTGAAGAAGTGGAGAAATTGGAAGCTTCGCACATTACTGGTGGGAATGTGAGATGGTACAGCTGTTGTAGAAAACGGTTTGGCAGTTCCTCAACAATTTTGATAGTTCCCACACAAACCAGCAATTGTACTCCTAGGCACATACCCAAGAAAGCTGGAAACATACGTTCCCACGAGAGCTTGTACGTAAATGCTCACTGCATCAGTCATCATAATCACGACATGGAAACAACCCACACGTCCAACTGATGAATGGACAAACAGCACAGCCATTTGATGGAAGAGCAGCCTTACAAAAGAAGGAGGGGCCGGGCATGGTGGCTCACGCCTGTAATCCTAGCACTTTGGGAGGTTGAGGTAGGCAGATCATCTGAGATCAGGAGTTCAAGACCAGCCTGGCCAACATGGCAAAACCCCGTCTCTGCTAAAAATACAAAAATTAGTCAGGTGTGGTGGCAGGCGCCCATAATCCTGGCAACTTGGGAGGCTGAGGAAGGAGAATTGCTTGAACCCGAGAGGTGGAGGTTCCAGCGAGCTGAGATCATGCCATTGCACTCCAGCCTGGGCAACAGAGAGACACTCCGTCTCAAAAAGCAAAACATAGAATGAGGTTTGTATATGCTACAACATGGATGAACCTCGAAAACATGCTAAGTCAAAGGAGCCAACCACCAAATGGCACATATTTGGCAATTCTACTTAAATGAAATGTCCAGAATAGGCAAATCCATAGAAACAAAAGAGAACAGGGTTATCTGGAGCCAAAGAATTGCAAGTTTCATTTCGGGGTGAGGAAGATGTTCCAGAATTAGACAGTGGAGATGGCTGCACGACCTTGTGAATATACTACAAACCACAGAACTGGACACTTTATCTTTTTTTTTTTTTTTTGAGACAAGGTTTCACCATGTTGGCCAGGCTGGTCTTGAACTCCTGACCTCAGGTGATCCACCTGCCTCAGCCTCCCAAAGTGCTGGGATTACAGGCGTGAGCCACTGTGCCCGGCAGAATTGGACACTTTAAAAGCACACATTTTATGGTATGTGAATCATATCTCAACAACAAAAAAATAGTAAAACAAAAAGTGGATGAAGAAGGCAGAGCCTGCCCTGGGACCCCATTTGGAAGGTGCAAGTAGAACGGAAGAACTGGAAGGCCAGTTCCGTAGTCCCAGCACTTTGGGAGGCCGAGGCGGGTGGATCACTTGAGGTCAGGAGTTTGAGATCAGCCTGGCCAACATGATGAAATCCCATCTCTACTAAAAATACAAAAACTAGCTGGGCATGGTGGCACGCATCTGTAATCCCAGCCATTTGGGAGGCTGAGACAGGAGAATTGCTTGAACCTGGGAGGCGGAGGTTGCAGTGAGCCGAGATCATGACAGAACACTCCAGCCTGGGCAAGAGAGAGAGGCTCTGTCTTGAGAACAACAAAACAAACAAACAAACAAAAGAACTGGAAGTGTGTCAGGAGATGGCAGCACAGCAGAAAGTCATGAGCCTTCCTTGGTCTTCCATCTCTTAAGCTCTGGGCGTTCACTAGGCAAGTTTCCACCAACTGTCTCCACACCTTCTGAGTGGATTCAGCTCCTGTTCACGCCAGCCGGAACCTCAGGCCTGAACCCTGCTCTGGTACCTAAATGAAATTGTGACACAAGTTGTCACCTGGAAACAGTCTTCTACAGGTCCCGCTTACCTGGCCATTCCCATGAGTAATCAAAATTGAAAGCAACACATTTCTTTCCCAGTTATGCCTTGGTTTAATTTTTTTTCTCAGACCAGGAAGTTTCAAGTAATTCCATTCTTCTTTTTCCTTGATCACTTATATATAAAATCGCATCAAGTCTAACCATTTGTTTTGTGGAAGTGCTTGCAGAGCTTTTTCTAGTTGCACAGTTCACAGCTGCTCTAACACATTCCTGGATCCTGTTAACAGGTTTAGCCGCAGCACGCCCAGCTCAATGCCCAACGTAAAACAGATCCCCACAGAAGTGAAGTCTGCCGTCTGCCCTGTCCTGCACGCAGTGGTGTGCCGGTACACGTTGAACAGCCAGCTCTGGGGGGAGGTGGAGCCCTGCTTTGTAGCACTTGCCTATTCCTGCGCTGTAAATATTTCTACCAGAGCCGGTTTCAAGCTTCCAAAGTGACATTAACCAGGACACACAACTCCTGAAAATTTTACAACTGAAATTTTGAGTTTTCACGAGCTCCAGCACAACCACTGGTTCTTCCCCAAACATGACTTTTATCAACTCACTCTTCCTCAGTGGTTCCCTGCCATCCACTTTGTCTAGTCCGAATTCATCCACACATATTTGAATGTCTTCCTGAATCTGGCCACCTCCTATTACCTGCTATTCCTTAGATATAACACATGTTTCTGACTAGGAATCTACCAACTGTGCCCTGAATAGGCTCTGATCACTTCTGTACCTTTGCTCATCTTTTTTCCTGCCGAGGGTTTATGGCAGAAGGGACAAGACAACTCTCTGGGACCTTTTTTAGAAGGCCACTAACTCCATTCATGAGGGTTCCATCCTCATGACCTCATCACCTCCCAAAGGCCCCTTCTCCTAACACCATCACATCGATAATTAGGTTTCAACATACAAATTCTGGGGAGACACAAACATTCAGACCAGATATTGGTGAGCAGTTTGAGCTGCATTTTATCTCCCCAACTAGATTCAAATCCCTTGAAAACATGAACCCCAATACTTCTTGTGTGATCCCGACAATGCTGAGCAAAAGGCTGGAGACACAATGGAGCTCAATCAATGTCAGTCTGCTGCTCCGAAGACTGAGAAACGTTCCACTAGGAAAAGACATGCAAAACCTGTGGCTCAGCAAGGCAGGCTTCACACGCATGCCTGCTTTCTCCAACTCGAAGGGACTAAGAGAGGTAGTACTCCAACATGAGCAAAGGACAGGAAAAGGACCGATACCAAACCCAAGGGGTCAGATGGGCGGCAGTGTGATGACTGACACGGCAGAGTGGTGCCAGTGTAAAAGGGACTGATCTGCCCCTCAGAGCCTGGAGAGCCCTAGGAACTGATGGAAGCAGGAGTTAGAGCTATCTGGTGGGGCTGAGTAAAGGAGGTCAGGTCAAACGCTCCCCCTACTCACTGCCCCTATGCGTCTAGATGGCCTCAGGAATCACAAGATCTACTTTCTGGGGAAATGGAACCAAAGAAGCCCTTGATTAGGAGACAGACTGGAGCGGACGGCAGGAAGGTGGTATGCTGGTAACAGGGCTACGAAAAGGAATGTCAATCGCAGACAGTGAGAACCTCTGGTGCCTCAGCATGTACACGGAGCAGAAAGAGGACTCGGTGGACACGTAGGCAACACCTGCATACTCCGACGTGTGCAGTCTCTCTCTGACCACACTGCCACCTGCCTTGGCAAGCACCTGGCATTTCCAATCAGCTCTGCGATGTCTTTTTCAAATCTTAGTGGTCAAAGATCACCAGCCATTTGAGGAAAGCCTCTGTGAAAGAAGTGGCCTCCTGTCTCCCAGCAGCGGCTCTCCCTTCCTTCAGAGTAATGGGACTATATATTTTTTTGGCCAGGAACATGCACAACTGGAATACAGATACTTGCTAGCCTTCTTCGCAGCTAAGCAAGACCTGGAGAACAGGTTCTGGAAAACGTAACTCAGTAGAAGCGTCATATGACAAGAGCCTTCCTTAACAGAGTGGTACGTGTCCCCAGCCTTTCTTCCCTTCTGCTGCTAGAACTCAGAGACCCTCATCCTGGACCACAAGGCCAGAGTCCCACCCAAGAAATGAGAACTGGGTATGTGAAAACATCTGGAGCAAGGCCACCAACCGACTGGCCCTGGCTTGCATGCCTCTAGCCTTTCACATGAGTGAGAAATAAACCATCTTTAGGTTGTTGACAAACTCAGTGCAAAAGGACACAGACCCCAATATATAGAAAAAACAGAAAAAGAATGAGATTAAATGATAATCAACAGTCTAAAGAGATAAAATAATATATGCATGAAACCAGAACAGAATGCTGGGGAGAAGAACAAAGAGGCCCTCCATTTTCTAAAATTAATTCTTTTTGTAGAGATGAGATCTTGCTATGGTGCCCAGACTGATCTTTAACTCCTGGCTTCAAGCAATTCTCCCACCTTGGACTCCCAAAGTGCTGGGATTATAGGTGTGAGCTACCACAACGCTGGTCCCCCAATTTTTAAGAAAAATTCACCAAAGAGGTAGCAAAAAGTCAAGGAAAGCTTCCAGACAATGAAACAAACAAGAGAAAAGATGGAAACTGGGAGGAGGCAATAAAACAAAAATAAAAACAAAACAAAAAAAAAACAGCCAGAAGCTCAATGCAGGAGCTCTGACAACAGGAGTTTTAGATAAAGAGGGTGGAGGGAACAAGAGTAAATTATCAAAGAAATAACTCAAGGAAGTTTCCCTCCCAGAGTGGAGGAACAGTTTCCTGAAAAGATACACTCATGGGCTCAACAAAAATTTAAAAATACACACACAAAGGCACGTCGCTGTAAAATTTAGGAATACAGGGACGAAAACATCTTCGTCTCTACAGCGGAAAAAACAGGTCACATTGAAAGAAATAGAATCTTAAGTGGTAATAAGATTTTTTTTTTTTTTTTTTTTTAAGATTTTGAGATCAGAACTAAAGAGACTTTTTTTCTTTTTTTTCTTTTTTTCCCCCCCTCTCTGTCTCCCCCAGAGAGAGTTTCAGTCTTGTTACCTGGGCTGGAGTATAATTACATGGTCTTGGCTCACTGTGCCCTCCACCTCCTGGGTTCGAGCAATTCTCCTGCCTCAGCCTCCCGGGTAGCTGGAATTACAGGCATCCACCACCATACCTGGCTAATTGTTGTATTTTTAGTAGACATGAGGTTTCACCACATTGGCCAGGCTGGTCTCAAACTCCTGATCTCAGGTGATCCACCCGCTTTGGCCTCCCAAAGTGCTGGGACAGGCATGAGCCACCACGCCTGGACAAAAGACTTCTTGATAACAACACTAGACAAATATTTATTTAAATAACTAGAATATTTTAGACATACATTGACATACTCTCTTAAAACAAAGGAGTAAGCTGAGAAAAAAAAAAAAAACAGGAAATCCACAAACTAGTATTACAGGGGAGCCCCACCACAAGAGCTGTGTGGCGGGCCCCAGGGAGAGTTCCACCTGACGATGCACTGTGTGGTCACCTGGCAGGAAGGAGGGAGGGGAGAAGAGCCTGGTGCTTGTGTTATGTTAAGAGCTTTCCAGAAGGCCCTCCAGAGGTTTCCCTTTATGTCTCCTTGGCTAGACCCTTGTTACACAGATACCGTTAGCTCATGGGAAGCTGGGAAGATATCATTTTTTAATTGGTACACTGCTGCTTTGAATGAATTGGGAGGTTCTGTTAGGAGAAGGGGGAATAGATATTGGGTGACAGGGTCAGCCACGTTTGGCCGATGTGAGTATGTTCCACAGAGGGCATACATGCGTTTATGTGTGTGTGTATGATTTTTTTTTTTGGAGACAAAATCTTGCCCTGTAGCCCAGGATGGAGTGCAGTGGCTCACTGCAACCTCCGCCTCCTGGGTTCAAGTGATTCTCCTGCTTCAGCCTCCCAAGTAGCTGGGACTACAGGCTCCCACCACCATGCTGGCTAATTTTTATATTTTTAGTAGAGACAGGATTTGCCAGGTTGGCTAGGCTGGTCTCAAACTCCTGACCTCAAACTCCTGATCCATGGGCCTCTGCGGGGCATGAGGGTTTTTTAAAATGAGATTTTTCTTTTTTTTTTTTTTTTTGCTCACCCTCAACTGTCTTGATCGAGTTATAAAGATGAGATTTTTCTTAATTGCTACTCATGAAAAGTAGGGAGATACACAAAAAACAAGGAAGTTTTCAGGGTCTAAACCCATGCTTAACTTTCAAAGCATTCTCACCCTTTTATATCTCACTTTGGCATCGTAGAAACGATTTTGGCGGAAAAGGTAGTTGCCAAACTCCCGTTCTGTAGCTGCCACTTTAAGGACCTTCTGAAGTGGAAACTGGTCTTGTTGCTCCTGAGGATCAGAGACAGGAATACTCAGCAAGGAGACCAAAAGCCCCAACACCACGGTGGAAGTGTTAGTATGCATGAGCCAGGAGTTCGAGACCAGCCTGGGCAACACAGTGAGAACACGTCTACTTTTTTTTTTTTTTTTTTTTTTTTTTTT